ATTTCACTGACTAGTGTACGTTATCCTGAAAAGTTATCTTTATGATGCTTCGTAAAAATGTTACTTATATTACTTATATATTACTGAGCCTTAATAGCAAACTCCACTCTGTGTTTTTCTTGATGCCCCTGAGCTTACAAGAGAATCACCTGGAGAAAGTTTTTTTTTTTTTTTTTTTTTGGTGCCCAGCCCCTACCCTAGAAGGAATGAAGGCATCTCTGGGAATGGGGCCCAGATAGCCTGAGGTTTTAAAGTTGCGCTGGTGACTCTGATGTGCAGCTCGAGAAATAGGCCTCAAGAAATAGGGCCTGAGCCATAAGTCAAGAATAACTATTGCAGCCCAGCAAGTGATGAAAACAATGTCAGTTTTATAAGGGATAAACAGACAAAATAAATTTGTGTAGCACGTGATAAAGATGAGACGTGTATCATCCGAACAAATACTTGTTTAAAATATAAAGCCTGTCGATGGCCCTGTAGGGCTGTCAGACAATGGAGAACGGGCAGACTTGTGCAGACGGGAATTATCTCCATCAGAGAGCCCTGGAAAGAGGGCGAAGTGCACACAGTAGGACTTGACAGTGGATTTCAGAGATTCTGGTTCTGTCAAAGAAGAACACTCATTAGGAGAGGAGCAAATCGTGGGGCAGCTGTGCTTGCTACTGTACATGCGCTAGTGGGGAGGAGTAACACACAACTGTACAAGGAAGGGCAGGAGCCATACTCGAACATTTTCAAGGCTACTTGAAAAACAACTGGGTTTTTTTTTTTTTTTTTTTTTTTTTATGCCTTACCAGATGATTGGTAATGTGCCCCTGTTTCCTCCCTGTGAGGGTTATCTTAATGGGTAGGAAACTGCCCAAGAAGAAATAAACATCCCTTTCTTGTATAGTTTCTACAGTGCCTAACTTTAGATCCACTACTGGTGATAAAGAGCACAGTTTGGACTGTATCTTGGTGTGTGGAGTATTGTGGTGGCCATTGCTTCATGAACCTACTGCTCTGACTTCACACCTCTTGTGCTCTTCTTAGAGTAGCTATCTTCATGAAATCTTCTTTACTGTTCTGTTCTACTTCACAGGAGAGTTTTCTAACCTTGCCACAAACTGGGGGAAAGCTCCATGTAAGAGTGATGTGGAAGACCAGGCTTCCTATCAGATTTAATTTTGCTTGTTAAGGGGGCTCTTTGGGAAAATTTGGGTTCCAGGGAGTCACTAGGCCAAATCCTAATAACCACAATTGCCAGAAGTAATTAGACTGAGGAAAGCCAGGTTCTTTGGGAGGAGGGTCATCGGAGCACGACTGAACTGTTGCTCTGTGGTCAGACTTAGTTACTTGTCCCAGAGGACTGGGAGCAATCAGGAGTTACAAAGAGCAGGAAATCTACTAGAAAACAATGCTTTTCCACCAATTTTCCCCCTCATAGGTCATTCACCCGCCAGCAACGCAAGAGATGGAAATGGGCCATTCCTATGTGCTCCGTGCACGTCATCACCCTTGTGTAAACCACCTGTCTGCCTGCACGAGTGCACAGTCCTCTGCTCTCACTACCAGGTCTCCTCGCTTCCTGAGCAGATAAAAGAACCCAAGGAATTTAGCCCAAGCCTTCATACAAGAATTATCTTAGTAGGAGGGAAAGGGAAGGCAATGAACCCTTGTAAACATCCTCAAGTTAATTTAGATTATGGAGGAGAACATTTAACAATAAGAAGAGGGCACTACATTACATGAGAGTTCTAAAATCTCCCGAGCTAATGAAGGCCAAGAGTAACTCGCTGGAACTTAAAATGACAGCTTTTAGAAAGGTAGTGTTGGAAGGGACTAAGTAGAAATTATCAACAAGTAATTGTGATTGTCATTCGAAACTTGCATTATGTGAGCAGCTACAACATTATTACATCTTTCCACCAAAAACATCCAAGAAACACAAAAACAGCATGTCTGTGCTTGATAATGAAGGTGAATGGTTTCCTTGGAAACCACTATCATGTTTTGGAATCCCCAAAAAGGATATTTTGTTAGCTCATTTGATAGATCTTGAACAAAACCACAAAACTTCCACTGGTCACTGTCCTGAAGTTTCTAATTCTTTTGTGATTCAGAATGACCTCACTCTATTCCCATACTACTTGAGCTCAGACTATTAGTTCTCTATTTAAACATGTGAACAGGTGATATTGCTTCTTTTATTTAATTTAATTTTTTTTTTTTTGTAACAGGGATTGAACTTGGGTCCTCGTGTTTGCAAGGCAGGTGGTGACACCACTGAGCTAAATCCCCAGCCCCTACTACTTCTTTTAAACATGCAAAGAGGAAGTCAAATTCTTTGGGCAGTTTCTTCTGTCAACTGGCAATCTCCAGGTATCAATTCACTAACAAACCCTTACCCCATACAAAGACATAGAAGAACAATACATTTTGTTTTCTTTTTTTAACCTTTATTAAGTTTATTGGTACATTTTAGGTATAAGATACAGTTACATTCATCATTGGGATCTTGTACCTTTACACGGCTTATCTTGGTTCTTACTTTTCCCCATTCCCCAGTCCTCCTTCCAGACCCTCCACCCTTCCCTGTTTACAAAGACATTGTTTCCATATTTTTCCTTTTCACATATTTTTTCTTTTCCCTGACCCCCAGCCCTCCCACTTCCTCTACTCTTTTAGACCTTTTCTTGCTATTACACAATATCACTTATACATTTTGATCCTTATTTACAATTTTAGCTTTTCACACCAGAGAAAACTATTCGGTATTTACACATGTGACTTAGTGATTTCACTTAAGAGTAGGGCCTCAATGTGCTTCCACTTAGCTACAAAACTCTCTAATTTCTCTTTCTTTACGACTGAGTAGTATTCCGTTTTATTAAACACACACGTGTGCGCACACACACACACGCACATACACACACACACACACACACACACATCTCCTTTATCCAGTCTCCAGCTGATGGGCATTTGGGCTGTTTCCAAGTTTTAGCTATTACAAACTGTGCCGCTGTAAACATGGGTGAGCGTGTATTGCTGTGGTATGATTTATTTAACTCTTTTGGGAAGAGACACAGCAGGGTAATACCTGGGTCAAATGGGACCTCTAATCCTAGTTGTTTGAGGTATCTCCATACTGATTTTTGGTTTTCTTTTAGTTTTTAATTTGACACTAAGGTAAGAATAGGAGAATCCTAATTTTCTGAGGTTTAACAGCAAAATTTTGGTCCATTTAGCCATCCTACTGTTTTTATGGTATATAGTTATAGAAATAATACAGAAAAAATAATTCATCATAAATTAATTGCATAAATATGGAGCAGCTAGTACTTGCCTCAAGATGAGAATTCTCAGCCCTTCCACAGACAGGGAATACAAGGTACAAAGATCTGTCTCTTTCTTAGAGACAGAGCCAACTTCCCAGTTCTCCCTAGAGATGATGGAGACCGAATCCTTTAACAGAGTTGCGTGGCTTCCCTTAGTGGCCCGCTGGGCTTACAGAGCCTGTAGATGCACCCTTTGCTCCAGCAAGATCAGCAACCTGCCCGCTCCTCTGCCCCATGCCTCTGGGATGCAGCCTCTGATTCATGTGTCTTCAGACATGGGGGCACCATTTGCCCATCCCTGAAAGTCTAATTTTTAGAGTTTTGAAGAGATGCTCCATGCCATTCCAAGCTATGGCTCTCTTTAGTATCCAGGTGGCCACCCGGACTGCTGATGTTCCAGGAGTTCATAGAAAATGGTTTGCTCTGAATTTACACTGCTTATGCCATGACAGAGTTCATGCAACCCCAGAAAAGTCTGTGTAATAGTTTTTAGCCAAACTACTGAATTCATAGGCCACTGGGCAGAAGCACTGTAGCTCATGAGATAAGAACATGTGTCCAATGGTTATTGCCAAGATTTCCCAATGCAGGATATTTTCTCCATCCCTCTTAGCCCAAATTCATTTCCTCATCCAAACCGCTGCTAAGATGAATTGAACAGCCTTAATTTTAGAATCTTCCAAAGAAAAAATAAACACACAGACAGCTGAGTTAATTTATAAAACACTGCTGCATTTATCTTGGCAGATTCACTTTTCTCCCTCGCATACGACTCTTGTGTGCTGACTCTACTTAGAAACTCAGGGAGGAGCGGGTCAGTTCTATTTATTAAGCACCTTGAGAGTCATCGCACAGAATAAGTCTGGTGTCTCTTTGGGCTTCTTACACAAGTTTCTTTCCTCGTAGATAATTTATTTGCTGGGTCTCTGAAACCTACCTAATACTTTTTTTTTTTCTTTAAACCTGAAATAAATGCAGAGTCATTTTTACAAGAGCAATAAACTAAAGTGGCTATTCAAATACTTTGGATCTCTGCACGCTGAAGTGCTGCTTTGTTAGTGCAAACCCTTCATGTTTTAGTAGGCAGCACTCTGAAAATCTAGGGCTGCTTAGAATTATATGACCGGAATCTCCCCGCCCCCAGCCCCACCTGCCCTCTGGTCCTGGGATGGAGCCTGCAATTTTGCAGGATTCACTCTGACAACTGTTCTGGTGTAAATATTTAGAGAAGTCCTTTCCATTAGCGATTAAACAAAGTGTAAGTAACTGTTCCACTGTTCCTAAAGGAAAGATCATACGAACATTTGCAACAGCAGAGCTGCTGCTGTCTGAGGCACAGATTAGGATACTGTACACTGAAGGAAAGACTAAAGGAAAAGAATCAAAGGAGGAATTAGACAGGACTGTGTGTAATTTGAACTGCAAAATATTACTTCTAAATTACCACTGTAGAGAGAGCGTTGTTTAAAGTGAATGGAATGTAGAGAAAATGAGTCCATTTGAGTGGAAAATAGTAAAAATCAGCTACTGGTGTTGTAATGGTTTTTAAGAAAAAGGGAGATCAACTGATCCCCATCCAGTTCAGAGTGAGTCCTTAGCCATTTTTCCACGGGTTCACCAAAGCGAAGTCACATATCTGCTATCTGACCTGACCTAAGTCTCATCTCTATTATGATAGTTATGCCGGAGGTCTGTGTGATTATCCCGCGGTATGACCGCACTCTACAGCTCTCGTTAGCACTGCTTGTCAAAGAGCGAGCCCTCAAGTCTCAAGGGCTCCACACTCCCCAGGGTCCCTCTCTGCCTGCTCCCAAGACCCAGCTACCAGTGACAACCTCCATGTTCAGGTCCCTTATTTAATGTGGCCTAATATCAATGTGTGACCTCCACACATCCTCTCCTACTTAAGTTATCTCTACCTGTGGGTGGTGGCGCACGCCTGTGATCCCAGCATTCAGGAGGCTGAGGCAGCAGGATTGCTGCACGTTCAAGGCCACCCTGGGCTTACATAGTGAATTTAAGGCTAGCCTGAACTACACAGCAAGACCTGATCTCAAAAATTAAAAATTAAACGATGTCTACATTACTTATAATCTGTTTTTGTGTAAATGCTAATGCGATCATTGCTACACTATATTTCATTAGGAAATTATAATGAAGAAAATGTCTGTAACAAGCTTTGATTCTCAGTTGCATCTGTGGATGTGTACTCAGGGGTTTAAAAAGCTGACTGTACCAGGACATGACAGGCTGAGCAACTGAAAACTCAGAGACTTCACCTGATTAGCAAAGGTCCACATCCTTTAGACCATGGCAGCTGTCTGTTTCTTCCCTGGATGACTTAGAGCTTACCTTAAAATATAAAAAGCTCTGAATTTAATAAAGCTTATTCATTGACAAGTCACAACTGAAGATTTCTCATTGGTATCTGTAGTTTTTTCTTATTTATGAAGAAAGAATTTTTAAAGTTTATATTAATATTTTCCTGCAAAACCACATTTTAGAGAAAAGACTCTAACACTCAAATATCTCCAGTGGGATTGTATTCCTTCTCGTTTTGCTTCAGACCTAGAATGGTGGCCCTTCATTGCTGAGTACCTAGTTGACTTCCGTGAATCCTGGAAATGCTGAACACAGGGCAGTGATGGCCAGTGATCTATGGGGTAGAATGAAATCTCCATCCTTGGAGGAGTGTCTTTTTTGCATTGCTGAGACAAAATGCCTGATACCCACAAGTTAAAGGAGGAAAAGTTTATTTCAGCTCAGTTTGCAGACGTTTGAGCCCATATCAGCTGGCTCCAAGGTGGGGAGGCATGGCACAGGGGCATTGCAGAGGAGACAGCTCATGGTGGAGCAGGTAGAAGGCAACAAGCAGCAACAGCAGCAGCAGGCCTCACTTCCCTGTCTCCCTTTTATAGCCCATCCAGGCTACAAGCCCTTTGATTGGTGCCCCCCCAGGCCCAGGGTGGGGCTTCTATTTTCCACAATCAGAACTATGATAAAGTCATTTAGTGATCACACACCCTCAATCCCAGTATCACACACCCTAGATCCAGCCACCTCCAAAAAGCCCCACCTATGAGCACCTAAGGCTTTGGAGGGACATAAGGTACAAGCCATAATGAGGAGACTCACGTATTCTGAGTTATCCTCTCAGAATCTGGCTCACATTAGCAGATGGGGATACTGATCTCTATTTTATACCCTGCTGTATAATTTAGCCAGATTATCTGGGGTGAGATTCTCTTGAAATGGGCCTCCTGCTCTTGTTTATCTGAAGGCAGGAAACTGATCTGAAGTCCCTCCCATAGTAATATCTCAATAAGCTTTTCCTTTTCTTTCTTGTAGCATCTTCTAACCTTAGACAGCTCTCCATCAATATGTCAAGAATTTGAAAGGCCGGGGATTTAGCTCAGTGGTTCTGCCACAGGGACCCAAGTTCAATCCCTGGTACCAAAAAAAAAAAGTGAAGTTAGAGCTTGCATTTAAAAACTATCATTTCTTGTACTTTAAAAGCCAACAAGCAAAAAAAAAAAAAAAAAAAAAAAAAAAAAAATAAAAAAAAAAAAAAAAAAAAAAAAAAAAAAAAAAAAAAAAAAAACCTTGGAAAGAAAAACGTGGGAAAAAACTGAAATTGAAAGCCCTAACTAAAACACCATAAATTCATTAATTCCTTGCATAGCTATTGACTTTGTGCTGGTATTACAAAAGTGGGAAAACATCCCTGCCTGTTAAGCTCTTCACAGTGGTGAAAATATGAATATGAGTGAAGTTAAAAATTACTACCTGGCCACAGATAGATACCATTTCTCAGCTGTGGAATACTTGTTTTTTAGGTTTGTTTGAGCAGAACTGGAAACTAATTGAATGGTTTACCATGAGCCTAATCCATACCCACATTTTTATCTGGAAAACAAGGGCACTGACAGCATTGTAGGATGAAGCAGGAAGGTGAAAGGAAGATCAACAGAAAACACTGAAATTTATTAGGCCTCCCAGTCTCTTCTTGTCTTGAGATTTATAAGCAGTAAACAGCAGTCGCCGCTGAGGGTAATGTGTGTGACAGTCACGGGAAGCACGCCATGCACTCTATAAATGTCACTGGCATTGTTAGGTGACGCTTGGAATGGAGTGGCCCGGTTTGGCAGAGCCAACTTCCATTTCTGGCACATTGATTAATTTCTAAAGCTGAACTTTCACACTGGTTCATTAACTGGAATTACTTTACCAAACACTGAAATACTGTATGTTTAAAAATAGTGCATTTTTGTTCATCTCTCGGAGGCAGTTCTCAAACCTTTTATGGTAACCCCTGGACCGCTATGTGGAATACACAACTGAATCAACTTGAAGCACCACTTTGGCAGACACAGGTCAACAAATTATTTGGATTTCTTCTGTAAGCCTGCTGATAACCCCTCCTCACCACAGTTGATAACTTTGAAGATGTTTGTTACTAAAATTCAGAGACTTCAAAGTAACATGATTCTGTTCTCTTCTGTAGTGTTATCACTAATTTGTGAAGGGTTTTGAGTAAAGAAAGGCAACTATTAGCTATTTTTACATGTGTTATCTCATGTTACCCTCACAACAATTGAATCATACATATTTCTGCCATTTTGTGAATGAAAACAATTGATACTAAAGATCAAAGGGACCCAAACAGAAATGGTGTCCCTAAAACATTTACTTAGATCTTCAGAGCTAAGGAAGAGCCTTTCTTGCTGTTGTTCATTAAGCCCATTAAAGAGGATGCCAGAGGAGGTTTAAATGAAAGAGAGTTTTCTCTGTATAGGGGAGACTGAACTACTATCACTTCTTTACACAAAAATTAAAAAATTAAAGAGAGAGAAAGGGAGAAAACCAAGCTAACAGGCAGAGTGGCTACTTGGGAAGTACCATGAGCTTTTATACTGTTTTTAAAGCCAGGAGCCCAATAAGACCACAAGTGTTGCTGCTAAGAGCCCTCTGGTTAGTAAATGCTAAAATAGTGTGGTAGGAGGTGAAAGATGTCCAGGAAGTAGAATCCACCAGAAGAGGAAACTGGAAATGAAGGAAAGCGCCTAGGTTTTTGGCTTCAGCAACTGGGTGGTGCCATTTTCTTTTGTATTGTCTTGCTTTTTGGTATCTGGGATCAAACTCTGGACCTTGCGCTTTCAAGGCAGGTGGTGGTACCACTGAGCTAAATTCCTGGACTATTTTGTGAGACACAAGATTCTAGAGGAAACACTAGCATGTGTTCAGTACATACAACATGCTTCAGGAGCCAGGATGGATTTTGGAAAACATGTATGCAGCACAGCCCCTCCTGTTACATAGGAGTGGGTGGCCAGAGGAGTGACTCAGTTGAAATCACATTGCCATGGAGCCAAGAGGGGCCCCAAATGCCACATAGCAGATGGCTCCAAACACTGACATTCCAGAGAAATGCTCTGTGGGTTTTCTGGCAATCTGATTTCATATTTGCTTAATTAATGATCTTTTCAAAGAGAATTTTCTGTTGATTGGCTAAGAATTTATTTCACAATCTCTTCATTTCCTTACTGCTAGCGAAGTCAGAATGTAGGAAGTTACAACAGACTGTTGCCCTCATCTAAGATGATGCATAATAGGGCATCATGAAAATAAAATGAGACGCTTTTTGACAAAAAGCAAGTAATTTCTCATCAAACGTAACCTTACTCACTTTTGTGTTAAAGGAGCTTCCAGTTTAACCCCATGCAGATTCAGTGTCGTTATGCTCACTATTCACGGTAATTTGTGTCAATATAGTTTTATACCATGCATAGACATTGGGTTATCATGCTGTTACTTGATTTTTTTCAATATCCTTTCATTCAATGCCCTTACCATGTCATTCTATGAATAAAGCTTAAATATGTTATGTGTAAGTGATAACAGAATCAAACCCCCAAACCCACGTTCTTGTAGGAGGGTATGTGTTGTGTTCTCCTGTAAGAGTCTCCTGCATTGCCACAATTCTCAAACATTTCCACTGAAATGTCTGTGGTTGGCATAGTTTCTCAGGGTTTGATTATACAGGAAAGCAGAAATCTGTGTCACAAGTGAGACTTTTCCCTGAGGGAGGAGCAACAAGTGTATGACAATCTGTTGGGAGGAAGAAGGAGACAACTCACAGCGTGTCCTCATGGGAGCAGAACTTCTGGAGAAGCAGGATGAAGTGCTCCATTGGGTGCTTTCTAATAAGAATTGCTATAATCATAGGGGGATTCCAAAACATGAGGACATTCGTTTTACTAGATGTGATCAAACAGACTGTTTTGGGCACAGATTGAGCTAAATTCAGTAACTTGAGGGTAAAACTCCGAAGCTTTCTTATCCTATTAGCTGGGAGCTAATTAACCCTGTAGGTCTCGTGTGACCATTTACAAGGACAGGGAAAGCTTTAAAATCCCTTTAAGTTGCATAGTTATGCATCACCCCCATATATCTTCATGTAGCTCTACATATTTTGTTCTTTGTACC